GGCTGATGTCCCCCGCCGAAATAGGAAAATAATTAGAGGACACATATAAAAATCAAATTGCGTATCGCTCTGCTTACCCTGAGCAGAAAATGCTCATTATCAAACTTAGTCAAGGTATTACTGTAATGAAACTATACACCAAGTTTCATCAATCTCACTTAATTAGAACTAAAGTTATCGTGTCCCAAAGCATCAACCAATCAAATTGCTTATCTCTGCTTACCCTAAGCGGAAAATGCTCATCTTCGAACTCCATCAAGGCATTGACCTAATCAACACATACACCAAGTTTGAACATTCTAGCTCAATTAGGAAGAGAGTTATCGTGCCCCAAAGTATCAACCAATCAAATTGCTTATTTCTGCTTACCCTAAGCGGAAAATGCTCATTTTCGAACTCCATCAAGGCATTGACCTAATAAACACATACACCAAGTTTGAACATTCTAGCTCAATTAAAAGTTATCGTGTCCCAAAGCATCAACCAATCAAATTGCTTATCTCTGCTTACCCTAAGAGGAAAATGCTCATCTTCGAACTCCATCAAGGCATTGACCTAATCAACACATACACCAAGTTTGAACATTCTAGCCCAATTAGGAAGACAGTTATCGTGTCCCAAAGCATCAACCAATCAAATTGCTTATCTCTGCTTACCCTTAGCGGAAAATGCTCATCTTCGAACTCCATCAAGGCATTGACCTAATAAACACATACACCAAGTTTGAACATTCTAGCTCAATTAGGAAGAGAGTTATTGTGTCCCAAAAAGTGTGACGGACAGACAGACGGACAGACAGACGGGACAGACAGACGGACAGACAGACAGACAGACAGACGGACGAACCCATTTAGCGAAAACAGTCAATTAATAAATCTATAAAAAAAATTAACAACCGTAATTCAGACAGCAACTTCTAATACACATTTTGGTTGAAATAATAATCCGCGTGTAGCTTTTAAATTAATTTATTACTTTATGGCCCCAATCAAGTATCAAAACACTGCATTTGTTACATAACACCTAGAGGTCAATGTTTTCAAACATTCTGATCAATCAACCATAACAAAACGATGGCAATACTTTCCCCCAGTTTGACTGTATATACAGGATACTACTGCTCTAATATTGTATTTTAAAAAACGATTGGAAATGTAGACGGTGTTATTGATGAACTATTTAAATGTTCACATCATATCCCACGCAATTATATCGTCTAATTCTATCGGGAGTAGATCCATCGTTCAGTAATTATAAGTTTATGGAACTTTAAAATCTTCGCTGATTCCACGGGACAGATACAATACCATGCTGATTTTTATTTTTCATTTCGGCGCCAACGGCTCGGCCTTCAATGCATACCATCAATCAAAGGTCAATATGTGAACTTGCGCGTTTAATCAAATGAAACTATGTCTAAAATGATTATAAAATAAACCTGATATTGCTTTCTGATGTGGCTGGGTTATTTCAGGTGCCAGTGGTAAGAATAAGAAGCCAGTACATGTATATTTACATATGGCAAATTTGACTTATTCGCTATATACCCAGGGATATTCAAATTGGGGTCTATCTGTTCGATATTTATAAATGACAACATTGCATTTCGTGCGATCGATTAAGGTCAATATTTTTATTTTATTAAATGCAACTTTATTAGTAGTGTGACTATATGGTCGCAGTATAAACGCCAGGTATAGTCGAAAGAATAGAAGACAAGTTGTAAGACTTTGGTCCTTAAGACATTATTGGGTCTTTGAAAAATTGTTGGTTAACTCTTTCTATAGAGTCAAATCCCATGTAATAATAAAACCTGATATTGCTTTCTGATGTGGCTGGGTTATTTCAGGTGCCAGACGTAAGAATAAGAAGCCAGTACATGTATATTTACATACAGCAAATTTGACTTATTCGCTATATACCCAGGGATATTCAAATTGGGGTCTATCTGTTCGATATTTATAAATGACAACATTGTATTTCGTGAGATAGATTAAGGTCAATATTTTTATTTTATAAAATGCAAATTTATAAGTAGCGTGACTATATGGTCGCAGTATAAATGCCAGGTATAGTCGAAAGAATAGAAGACAAGTTGTAAGACTTTGGTCCTTAAGACAATATTGGGTCTTTGAAAAATTGTTGGTTAACTCTTTCTATAGAGTCAAATCCCACGTAATAATAAAACCTGATATTGCTTTCTGATGTGGCTGGGTTATTTCAGGTGCCAGACGTAAGAATAAGAAGCCAGTACATGTATATTTACATACAGCAAATTTGACTTATTCGCTATATACCCAGGGATATTCAAATTGGGGTCTATCTGTTCGATATTTATAAATGACAACATTGTATTTCGTGAGATAGATTAAGGTCAATATTTTTATTTTATAAAATGCAAATTTATAAGTAGCGTGACTATATGGTCGCAGTATAAACGCCAGGTATAGTCGAAAGAATAGAAGACAAGTTGTAAGACTTTGGTCCTTAAGAAAATATTGGTTAACTCTTTCTATAGAGTCAAATCCCATGTAATAATAAAAGCGAACGACATGTTTATATGTAAAAAAGATAGGTTGCCAGGCAACGAAACATACGCCCACAGCAGCTATATCGTCCGGGCAGTCAACAAGAGTTGCCGCATATTTTTACTTTTTTCGGTAATGGAACATTTATAATACATTAAAATCTGATTAAGAGTAACAACTCATTAAGTAATTATCAGAAAACCATTAGAATTTGTTTGGTTTTTATAAAGTCTTTCCCCATGCTAACGTTTAATATACAAAACTTTTAACATCATGGATTTAGCTGTTCAAGTCATAAAGATTCATTGAAAATCAATATACTTGTTCGTCTCAAGAGTCAAGACCTTAAACACTGTGTATCAATTTAAAGTCAATCGGATATTAACTTTAGCCTCTAGAGCGTCCACAAGATTTTTCAAAGTGATCAAGGGCCATAACTCTGACAGTAATTATCGGAAATTGCTGAAAATCGGATATTAACTTTAGCCTCTAGAGCGTCCACAAGATTTTTTGAAGTGATCAAGGGCCATAACTCTGGCAGTAATTATCGGAAATCGCTGAAAATCAATAGGCTTCTTCATCTCATGACCTTAAACACTGTGTATAAATTTAAAGTCAATCGGATATTAACTTTAGACTCTAGAGCGTCCACAAGATTTTTTGAAGTGATCAAGGGCCATAACTCTGGCAGTAATTATCGGAAATCGCTGAAAATCAATAGGCTTCTTCGTCGCATGACCTTAAACACTGTGTATAAATTTAGAGTCAATCGGATATTAACTTTAGCCTCTAGAGCGTCCACAGGATAATTGGTAAAATCCTAACCATTGTCAAAATATCCATCAAATTCTGTTTATGACATATGGTTGGTAGACCAAATAAGGTAATGTTCTCCCCCCAGGTCTTGGGAAATGGGGAGGTTTATTCCATATTTTGGATTGAAATTAAAGTCAAGGTCAGTCTAGGACGTGCAGAAATTAGGGGGTTATAAAAGAGGCTGTTTAGTGAGACTGATCAGAGCTCACCCAGGTATTCCGAGCAGCTATCATTTATTGAGAACGAGGGACCTTTGAAGCCAATCCAGCTTAATAATATTTAAAGTTGAAGAAATCATTTAACATGTAGTTTTATATATTATGATCACGAAGAAAACACAACAAGGAAGTCCAATCTACAAAGTCTCGAAAAATGATTACGTGTCATATCGGGCGTATGTGCTTCTTTGATATGTTAGATCACGGGACAATTCTGTAATTGCATAAAAGCGGCTATTATAAATTACAAGTTCTGGAATGAGGATTGTTGGATTGTATGCGATGTAAATTTAGTGAAAAGCTAAAGCAATTTTAGTTTAAATATATTATAAATTCTGGAATGAGGATCGTTGGATTGTATGCGATGTAAATATATTATAAATTACAAGTTCTGGAATGAGGATCGTTGGATTGTATTCGATGTAAATTTAGTGAAAAGCTAATGTAATTTTAGTTTAAATATATCATTTGTGTGGAAATTATCACTGTTCTGTTGCTTGTGCCGTATTATTTATCAATATGGAGATTTCTGTTTTATGGATATTGCTATTGAAGGTAAGATGCACAATTTACGCAACGTGGCACGTTTTTATAAATTTAATAAATGTCAAACGGTGAGTGCGGGTCTTATTAGTAATAAAGCAGAAATATATTTCTGTTGTTTTTGCTGGATTTACTCTCTATATTCCCGTGGATATTCAAATTGGGCGCTGACTGCTGGGTATTTATAAATGACGACATTACATTCGCCTTTCCATATACGATGATTAAGGTCCGTATTTTTATTTCATTAAATTCAACTTTATATATGGTACGCAATACAAAGGACACATAAGAGAAACGTAGATCATAGCGAGCACACATGCCTGTCTAAAGACCTGTCTTTAATTATACAAAGACCTGCGTAAGACACACGGTCGAATGATAAATTGAACGGTAAAACAGTTTTACTTCCCAAATTTTGATTTAACACGTACGTGTCAGATAAAACCTGTTGGTCCTTGATTATACTCCTTTTGATCCAGTTATCACAACTAGCGAGAAAACACGCCAATTAGACAATACACAACATTGACATTCATTTTTTACCGGTCGGTTAATTAACACACCTCTACTGAAAACGCACTATCGCACAGTTTTTCACCCCTAGCGTTAATTAATTCACCTCTCAGACAGTTTTTCACCTTTGTTAATTAACACACCTTATTTACAGTTTTAACGCGGTAATACTGAGTAATAGTCGGAAAATTAATTTTCTTTCGATACACGTACAAATAACAACCATGACTGAGAAATATATGGTGGCTGTGCACAGATTCACCCTTTAGCAGTTCTCAGTGTTACATATTTTAAACATTGTAAGTGAATATATTTTTAAGTGATATATTTTGTGATATATACGAGTGAGAGATTCATCAGAGGAAGATGCTACACTTACACTTAGATTTTTTTCCTTTTTTTTTCTTTCCTAGATTACATATAAACACAAGCAAACAATACAATAAATAGGTATACAATATAAATAAAATATACAACAAAGAGAGTACATAAACATCAAATAAAAGATTTTGCACTAAAACAAATCCGATTTATAACATCAAAAGCCATTCGGTTGAGCAAATAGAAAGGGAGAAGCATTACCGAAAAACTAAAATCTTGAACTAAATTCTATAGGCTAAAACACTTTTAATAGATTTTGAAATAGCAGGAATTGAAAAAAAAACCCAAAAGATAATTGTGTGTACTTAAATAGATTAAGTCAAGAACTCAAATATATTTTAAATAATTGCCGAAAACTTTATTTATTCATATGTAAAATGAATACACTAAATACTAAAGCTATAGGAAACTGACATATATATAGGTCAACTATATCTAATTTAAACAATTCCATTTCTTTAATTTATCAATATTATATATATATGGATAAGTGATGTTATGTTTAAGTTTGATGAACATATTATATATGGTATTGCGTTTTATATAGTATAATGATGAAATGTATTATATTTAGAGCAACTTATTTAAGATAATATATATTTAATTATATTAGTAGGGGTTTCATGTCAAGGTTTCAAATGACAGAAAAAAAAATTTTAAAAATATTTTGTGAAAATATACATAAAATGCTACCCAATTTTTTTTATTTCATCAAAATATTCTAATTAGATCCAAAGTTATGGAATTTTAAAATCCGAGATCGAGGTCAATAATGTAATCAAAATGCTCTATACCAGTCAACGCGTGGCTTGGCACCAAAATAAGTGCTTTTCAGTCATATTTGAGTGACGTCATAAGCGGTATTTTCCCTTCAGAATCGCTAGTACCAATTTTTAACACTGAAATCCGCACGTTATTGTCAGCTAAAATTTATTAAAATCGTAATAATTTGAATGAAAATATGTCAAATATTTATAATCTGGATGATACCTCAAGAAAGTTTTTTTATATTTAGTCGAAATTTGACAATTTTCAGTCATCAAAACAGATAAATCCCATTTTCTACGGGTCTACTTGTCCGATCACGTGGTATCAACAACCATTATAACCACCAAAATGTTATCTATCGTTTGATTGGTTCTATATCAAAATCCCCCGGTAACTAAGCTGCGGATTCACCAATGAAGTGAGTCGTAGCAATGGAAAATCTCAGGCTGTGTGACGTCAGAGCGGTATTTTCCCGCGAGCGTCTATGTAAACAAACGGTAATTTCGCTTACATTTCGATAATTTTTTAGCCTGAATCTTTGCAGATATTGAGATTGATATTAAACTATTGCAATACAATTGCTAGTAATGCATTTACATAAAATAGTAATTCAGAATCGTAGATTGAAGTGGGCTATATTTCAGCCGCTGACTGTCCGATTTCACGCTAAAGTCACGTGACCTGAAACCCCTAATATTAGCAGATATTTTTATGCAAGAAATGTATATTGGTCTGAAAACACACACTAATTATATCTGAAGACAAGCCAACAGTGAGGCTGATGTCCCCCACTGAAATCCAAAAATAAATAGATGACACATATTAATTAATCGCACATTTATTTTTTTCAAAAGTATCAAGCAATCAAACTGATTATCAACTATACACTAAGTTACATCACTCTCTATCAGATAGAATCCAAGTTATCTTGTCCCAAAAAATCAACCAATGAAATTGCTTAGCTTTGTTTAGCTTTAGCTCAAAATGTTAATCATTGAACTCAGTCAAGACATTCACCTAATGAACATCAACATCAAGTTTAAACATTCTATCTCAATTAAAAGCAGAGTTGTTATGTTCCAAAGTCTTGACCAATCAAATTGCTTATCTATCCTTAGCCTAAGCAGAAAATTCTCATCATCAAACTTAGTCAAGGTAATGATATAAGGAATCTATACTCAGAGTTTCATCACTCTCACTTAATTAAAACCAAAGTTATTGGCCCCAAAGCATCAATCAATCAGATAGCTTATCTCTGCTTACCCTAAGCCGAACTCCATCAAGGCATTCGCCTAATAAACACCTACATCAGGTTTGAACGTTCTAGTTCAATTAGAAAGAGTGATTGTGTTCCAAAGTCTCAGCTAATTAAATTGCTTATCACTCTGCTTACCCTGAGCAGAAAATGCTCTTATCGAACTTAGTCAAGGTAATGAAGTAATGAAACTATACACCAAGTTTCGACACTCTCACTTAATTAGAACTAAAATTATCGTGTCCCAAAGCATCAGCCAATCAAATTACTTATCTCTGCTTACCCTAAGCAGAAAATGCTCATCTTCAAACTTCATCAAGGCATTTGCCTAATAAACACCTACACCAACTTTGAACATTCTAGCTCAATTAGAAGGAGGGTTATTGGGTTCCAAAGTCTTGGCCAATCAAATTGTTTATCACTCTGCTTACTCTGAGCAGAAAATGCTCATTATCGAACTTAGTCAAGGTTATGATGTAATGAAACTATACATCAAGTTTCATCACTCTCACTTAATTAGAACTAAGGTTATCATGTCCCAAAGCATCAACCAATCAAATTGCTTATCTCTGCCTACCCTAAGCAGAAAATGCCCATCTTCGAACTCCATCATTGCATTGACCTAATAAACACCTACAACAAGTTTGAACATTCTAGCTCAATTAGAAATAGAGTTAATTTGTCCCAAAAAGTGTGACGGACAGACAGACAGATGGACGGACGGACAGACGGACGGACAGACAGGCAGAAGAATCCATTTTAATAGTCCCCTGCTTTCTTTGAAAGCCAGGGGACAATAATGAGTATACTCTAAAATATTCATTGATAATAGTCAATTCACTCATTTCAATACACAAAATAGTAAGCAATGTGCTTACAAATATCAAAAAGTAGATATTTTAGACTAATCTCAAATCAAATTTTCATCCATTTTGTGTATAGAAATAAGAACAATTCTCATTAGAACTTCAAACCCACAAAGAAAATAAATGATCACCCAATGACTATTAGAAATTTAAGTCACATGATTGTTAATATGAGTACTAGGATAGAATGGGTGGGAATTAATCATTAATTGATCATGCTTGTGGGAGGTTATGCCTGGTGTTACTATTTTTAGTAACATGCTGCAAATCAGCATGCTTAATATTCTTAGTGATGTCACCTAAATTTGGTGCAGAACAGCTTCGTTTCCCTGATCTGATACGTAACAAAGTTCTCCCTAGAGTTGGGAACCCCCTAGTGCGTTTGGGTGTTTCTTCGCCTTCTCTATAACGTTCTTTAGGTAACGTACCAAAGCCTCCATTGTTCTGTGTTTCAAATTTTTTCTTACTTGTAGGTGGTGTCTGAAAGACAAGAGAGAAATGAAATTCGACAAACTTGTACATATATTCTGACAACTGTCTCTTTCAATTTGACTAAATTATCATAAATACACAAGATGCTTCTCGGCAGTACAGTGACAATCATCAGAAAAATGTTATAGCACTTTCATCTAGTTTATAGTCAGTTTTTTTTTTCCAAATTATGTCAACTCACTTAAAGATTCACACTTCTCAGTGAACAATCATGGGCAAAAAATTATTCTCTTAATCCCTTGAAAAGTGTCAATTGAGTGAATATGATTATATCATGATCTGGTCAAACCACACATGTTTTCATGACTAGCAGACTCAATTCAATGTTTAACTCCATTGTAAGTGTTACAAATAAAAGACTCATGAATCACCTACTTTCATAAGTTGAGACTTAGGTATTAAATGTTCACAACTATTAGATCGAGTCATGCCAAGTGCTTCACGATTGCTAGATGTTACTGAAATATAAATCAAAACAAATGTTAAACATTTTACATTAAAAAGCGTAAATGGACCTATGTCAATACATAAGACGATGTTGTCTTTAATCAGTTACTATTTATTACAAATATCGAATTCTAATTAAATTCTCGGATTACCCACTACCCGCATCTTTTTCCGTCATTTTTATCTCAGAAAGTGTTGTGCGGCTAATTCTTCATAAAGTTTATCAACTTGTACATCAAGAGCTCAATGTTTGCGTGAGACATAACGCGTGCAGAAATTCCTAATCGTCAGGCTGTCGATTAGGGGAACCCTTAAATTTTTGTCCTGTATACGCTCCATGATTGTTTTTCGGGGAATCCAGTATTTTTCTAGTAAGATTGGATATCTCTACTTTCCATATATACCAATATAGCCATACTTTTATTGGAAATAACCACCCGATAAATACTTTTCTGGGAACCCATCTTTAAAGGAGAATGCTATAGTAAAAGTTTAATTTTATCAATTACTTAGTTCACTGTGTAACACATTTTAGAATTATACTATAAAGTATGCAATATGCAAATAAGATTGTTTGATTTGTGCATGCATACTGTCGGCCAATAGAACATGTAACTGTAAATTTTCCCGTGGTTAGACACCTCTAACCAATGATAAAATAGTTGTTTGTGGCATATATGTAGCAAACATTCAGCCATTGTTTTGAAATTTCATCTTGGTTGAATATGAACAATAAAACAAGGATTATGTCGAATCTGAGAATAATTATTGAACCTCAAAATAAAATCATACAAAAAAGAAAGAAAATAGATCCAGTCAGAGCAGTTTTCCAAATGTTCGATTGATCACGTACGAATTGCATCAAGGTAGGGTGCCCCACCATAAATAAACATCTCCAAATATCTTGACAATTACACCACAATATGTATATATACACCAAGCCTTAAATAAGTTTCAAACATTTATAGTCACTAAATAAATGGTCATGCTGTACGTAATAAGCTATGACCATTTAATCATCCATAAATAATAAACTGAAAGATGGTTCCGAGTGTCGGCCATAACATCCGAGCACGTGTGAGTAAACCAGCGGCTGCCAGGCAGGATTACGCCCACATTTTCGAGAGATGGATAGAAAACAAGCTAAAACGAAAGTAATTTTTCCTACAATCAAGGGCCATAATTCAGGAAGTTACGGTCCCATATGCGCGAATATCGAAAGGAACCGAGATCTTTGGGTTATAAACTTACATTTCAAGTTTCAACAAAATCGGATAAAAATTGTGACCTCTATAGGGTCCACAACCTTGATACACCATATCTTTACGCTATTTGAGAATGAACGGCGGCCATTTTGTCTTGTCAGTTTTGGGCCGATTTTGACGAAATTCGAACTCAGCCGTCCTTAGGGTGTAACGGTGATATATTAACACGGTTTTTTAAATCGGATAAAAATTATGACCTCTATAGGGTCCACAAGCCAAAAAACGCATTTTTGCGTACAATCAGGGGCCATAATTCATGAAGTTACGGTTCGATATGCGCGAATATTGAAAGGAATCAAGATCTTTGTGTTATAAACTTACATTTCAAGTTTCAACAAAATCGGATAAAAATTGTGACCTCTATAGGGTCCACAACCTTGATATACCATATTTTTACGCTATTTGAGAACGAACGGTGGCCATTTTGTCTGTCAGTTTTGGGCCGATTTTTACGAAATTCGAATTCAACCATCCTTAGGGTTTAACGGTGATATAATAATACGGTTTTTTAAATCGGATAAAAATTATGACCTCTATAGGGTCCACAAGCAAAAAAACGCGTTTTTTACGTACAATCAGGGGCCATAATACAGGAAGTTATGGTCCGATATACGCGAATATCGAAAGGAACCGAGATCTTTGGGTTATAAACTTACATTTCAAGTTTCAACAAGACGGATAAAAATTGTGACCTCTACAGTGTTCACAAGCCAAAAACGTGATTTTTCGTACAATCAGGGTCCATAATCCATGAAGTTACGGTCCGATAGATGCCAATATCGAAAGGAACCGAGATCTTAGGGTGATAAACCTATATTTCAAGTTTTATTGAAATCGGATAAAAATTGTGACCTGTAGACTTTGTGGACGGACGGACGGACAGGGGCGACAACAATATACGTCCACATGAAAATGTGGGCGTATAAAAATAGGTTACGTGCCCTTGTTTTGAAAGTAGTCTTGCTTAACCAGTCTACCGACCATTCAACGTTTGATTAACAGGCCGGGATAATCAAGACTACTTTTTAAGAAACATAACAGAAAGCTGGAACAATAAATTGAATTTAGAAACACGCAAGTTGGGCAACTCAACAATTGTTTTAAGAACCTTGTAAAAGTAAAATGAAACTACTGCTAGTATCATGTTCTTGCCTAACGCAAGTATTTCAGAGATATTATTTGTACTAAACCAAAAGATACAGCTCCTAATGGTACAGTTAATGATAAAGCAATTTAAAAAATAAAACAAACCTAATTTCTAAAGCTGCTGTAATAACCAATAAGCTAAATAGTACCGCTATTCAGAATCGTCAACAATAGATTTTTGACGGCTGTAATAGTTGATAGATGTGTAGAGAATTGCACGTGCGATGGCTATTTATAATATCATAGACTCTAGCGCTGAGTGTCATCATAGTGCGTAGTGCAGTGGTGGGATTTTACCCGTATATTCCGGACTTGTCCGAATCTTTTTTCGAAACACCCAAAATTGTCCGACCAGGAATATGCCCAATCGGTGAATAATATTCAAATTCCAAAATTAATATAGTGTACTGAGTGTATAACTGTCATTGCTTCTCCTTTGTCGGACGATATATCAATCCAATAAGAGTGATTATAAACTTAATCTGATTAACCCGTGATTTCGCCATTGTCTCACGTTTTAATCTCCTTTGTTGTGTTGGACAATAACACGTAGAAATTAGTCATATATGTCAAATATCCTGATAGTATATAACACCTCAAATCAACATACATTGTATTCGATAACTTGTCTGTGATATATTTTCGGTGGAAGCCGAAGTTAAATAAAGATATTTCACACACATGGCGCTTGTAGAGTTCAGTAATTAAAATGAAAGTACAAATCTCGTGAGACACATGAAATTAAGAGATGTATACGTGCTGAATCCAATACGCCTGATGTTCGAGAAAAGATTCTATTTTGATAGCATATTGTCGGATTTATGATTATATTTTGAAGGGGGTTTATGTCTTTAAATAAATAAACACGCTAAGAAATGTTGACGAATATTTTGATTGGAATGACGTAACTAGTTAATTGTTTTAGACGATAGCGAGTGCTACAGTCGAATGCAATTATTTAGCAGTTGGTGTCACTCTCTCATTAGGGCGTCGTTAACTACGGATGTCGGACTTTGCTGAAAAATGTACCGACGTATGACCCGAAAAATACGGTAATTTTGGGGGAGTTTGAAACAGATCGGCAGCAGTCGGCACGCTGTCAATTCTATAGTATTACGATGTCATGTAATTTTGTATGAATATTATTGACATAAATTTGAATACCGTACGGGTTTTAAACATAAAATATAACGAGGTGCACCTATTTTTTTTTTTACATATGAATTTGAATATATTTTGTTGACACATGATTCTTAATTGTGTTTTCAAAACGTCTGCTTAAATTACGGTAAGAGTTATGGCCCTTTATTTTCGGGAAAAAATGTCCGACATGAAATTTTTTGAAATCCCATCACTGGCGTAGTGTATGCGAATATCACTTCAAGATAAGCCAGTGAAGCGTGTATGTTCGCCGTGTCGAGACCAACTTTCTGTACGGTGCACGGGTCACCCTAATCAAGGATTCGAGCTTCTATAATAACTGTGTGTGTGTTTTTTAATGCTTAAAAAAAAAAAGAATTTACACAAATAGACAGGCTTTGAAATGTTGCTTGAGTAACTAACCTGTCCTTTATAATTTTCCACAGCACACATTATCCATGCACGCAAAGACAATTAAATGGTTTTGGTTCTTATTTTGATCCACATGAATATCGTAATTAAGTTCTTTGACATTGGCAGGACTAAAAATTTGCGCGAATCGCCGCATTAGCTTTGAGTCTGGGACTCGAAGATTCGTGCAATTCCATAAACCGAATTGATGTGGATTCCGCCAAGTAAAGCATACGTCTCAAATCAAAATTAAGGCCTATGACCTTGCCGTTGAGAAATGTGTAGAATTCGGATTCTAAAATATCAGTATAAAATTGAATATCAAACACAACGTCACACCTGTATTAACATCTATTATTAACCACATGCAGAGAACAGCTGATCGCACCCCCTGGAATTCCTTTCTCACTTTCCAACTAATTTACGCTAAAAATTATATGCATAAAATACTCTTCTGACCAAATTGTTTTCTTTTGTCAAATTGTTCTGTAAATTATACATAAACTTTATTTTTGAACATTGTTCTGAATTTTTTCAATGTTTAAATTTTCATTGGAGACAAAACAGGGAACATCGAATTGCTATGGTGCAGGCTTTGTGCCAAAATCATCAGGGAGTCAAAGTTAAACATAAGGATTTTTTCTGTGTCTTTTGTCTATGGTTTTCATCAAATCAGCATAGGAGTGAAAGATTGATACTGAAATTTGATTTTTCTTTTTATTTATTCTAATAAATATTGAAACACATATCTTTATTTTCTAAGTATTAATGGTCAATAAATGGCTTCATCTAGGGTCAAAGTATGAAATACATGAATAGCCCCAGAGAAAATAATACTGAAATTTCAGTGAGAAAATGTAACTGAAATCTCACCAAAATTTCACTGAAATAAAAATATATTTTGGTCTATTACTGAAATTTCACTGAAATAAACAAAAATTTTGCTCTACTGAAAGTTCACTGAAATAAAATATATTTTGGTCTACTGGAATTTCACTGAAATATTTATATTGCAAATTTCATAGAAATTTCACTGAAATTACAAAACA